ATTGATCCTTAAGTGCATGATGCTGATAAAATCAGCTCATTGTGTCATTTATGTTTGTTACAGGTTGTGCTGATTCCCCTTCCCCCAAAAAGGCAAAGGTGCAAAAGTCAGCAGGGAAGGTCTTGCTCTCAGTTTTTTCTGGGACTGTCATGGAGTCATCCTCACAGATTAACTTGCAAAGGGGCAAACCATCACTGGCACATACTACAGCAATCTTCTGGACAAGTTGTGAGATGCTCTGAAAAAGAAACACCACGGTATGCTCTCCAGAGGCATTCGTCTCCTAGCTGACAATGCACCTGCTCACTCATCTCAAGTTGTAATTAACAAAGCAAGGGCATGTGGCTTTTTGATTTTGCAGTATCCACCTTATTCTCCCAACTTCACACCAAGTGACTTTTTCTTGTTCCAATAAATGAAAAATCCATTGCAGAGTCACCAATTTGACAACATAAATTACATCATTCATGAAGTAGAAGAGTGATTTAAGGTGCAATCTGCAGACTTCTACAATAACAGTATTCGGAGAATCAAGAAACTCTGGGGAAAATGTGTAAATCTGGATGGTGACTACATAGATAAAAGTTAACAACTACAAATCAAAACAAACTTCCTGTCAAAAAATTTTTAAAGGTGATAATTAAAACTTTATGATACCCCCTCATAGATAGTTCTACAAGTGATAAGAGCATCTTTAGTTAGAAAAGGGTCTCCTTTGCAGAGTCATCCTTCATGTGTATAGGGCTCCAAGAATGAAGGCAGATGGATCAGAGCTACTGTGCTCCTCTTCACTCCCCTATGTCATTCCCATCTGCAGAGTTTATATTCAAAGAGAACATCTCAATATGTGGCTTGTCAACTGCTATGAGTTTCCACGTCTAGGTTGATAACAAAAATTATTCACAGTATTTATGAAATGCCACCATAAATCAATCCGTCAAACTGAACTATACTTCAGTCTGTTAGCAAACACAGAACAGCTGCTTTTCCCTGAGCAACAGAGCTTACCTGAGCTTGCAGCTGGACCTGCACTATAGGTGGTGTAATGTGCTTCTTCGTCAGCACTTGCAACCAAGGGAGTGAGCATTACAGCTTCTATGAAAGCAAACATTCCAGCCAGAAAGTCACTGAGGGTTTAATAATGGAAGTTGTCAAAAGATGCAAACCTGTTATTGTTTTTGCTGCTGCCATAGTTATTTCAAAATCTGTAACCATAGAAAAACTGCATACCAAAGCATCCCCTGTAAGCCTTATTTTATATGCTTATACTTCAAACAATCTTTATATTTAAAAACTGTGTTTTAGAAAGTGCAACAAAACTTATAGAGGAGCACATATATTGTGATATAGAAATGGCTATTGTAAGCAAGCCCACCTTTAAAAATTCATTCAAAGTAAACATAGGAAATGACACAAAGCTTGGAAAGCAGAAATGGTTGAGAATTTATCTTCCTCTGAGCCTCTTCTTGAAAATGTCTTCCCTTTTTTAAAAAAAATAATGCCCTCGCTCCCTTTGCTTTTATGAAACTTGAATGGTAAAAGTCATGTGTATGTGTGGTGTGCCTTCAAGTCATTTCTGATTTATAGAGGCCCTAAGGCAAGCTTCTCATGAGGGTTTCATGATAAGACTTATTCAAAGGAGGTTTGTCATTACCTTTCTCTGAGGCTGAGAGAGTGTGACTTGCCCAAAGTCACCTAGTGGGTTTCATGGCTTAGCGGGGAATCGAACCCTGGTCTCTAGAGTCAAAGTGCAACTCATACAGCTATGCCACAAGGGCTCTCTTACATACATGATGTCTCACAGTTCCAGAGAGTAGAATACATCTTTAAACTGTACAAATTGAAACTAAAAAGCAGGGATATGGACACACATTTAAGTGTGGTGTCTGTCTCCCCATACTTGAGATCTCATCTGCTACTGCACAATGAAACCAGATGCACAGACTTGGAATTTTTTCTTCCATTTATCCTCAGAAACTGTTAAGAAGTCTACCCAGAATTAGGCCAGAGTATAGAATTTATCACCACCATGACACAAAAGGATACTCGGTATGTAGACATATTGGACACAAGGTAGTCAATGTATAGAAAGTTAATAAGGTGTTATTAGTCAAAATGTTCATTTTTCAATAGTAGTCCTGGGAACAAATGCCCTGCATGTAACTTTTCCACGTTACACGAGGGAAAAGATTGTCCAGACTTCATCTTTCTGTCAGGCTGCTGCCATACAGTTTGACACCAGGCTCTCTGACAGAGAAGGTTAAATATCTCACAAAACTACACATTCCAGATTTCCATAGCATTGAGTGATTACAATTAAAGCAGTGTCAAACTGCATTAATTTTTCAGTGCAGTCTTAGTTACGTTTATTTTTCCTTCTCTCACCCCACATTTTAAAGGCCTACTACAGCATTTTGTGCAGTCATGCTGGCCCCACTATCATGGGATCGTCTTTGACAACGCTGGCCCTTTGGCTTAGTAACAGAGATGAGCATGGCTCATTCCAGTCAGACATGACCGGACTAGCTTGTCAAGGGAAAACTTTACCTTTACCTACAGCCTATTCTACTGTGTTGCAATTTTTTCACTAATTTAACACTATCACAAAACAAATCAAACAAATAACATAAAAGACTAGTTGTTTATTTTATGCATTTAAATTCTCTGTACTTGCTCCTGGGTTCTTGATTGCCCTGTCCTAGGATGTTATCACACGGGGCAAATCTGCTGGTTAATCCACAC